AGAAAGGTAGACGAGTAATGTTCGTCCTTTGTGCGCATGCGTCCATCATTCAACAGACAGAGAGGACGAAGTATCACGTGGTATCGCTCGTATACCTTTCTCTCTCGCACTCCTTGCCAACTCTTGGACTCGCTTGCTATCTATACATATACTTAAAGGCTGCAGTACTGCATAATGGGAACGCACCCTAACTACTCTGGCTTTAGACCGCAATTTTGATTGTGATTGGTTAATTTGTTTACGACCTTGGGAAAAATTTACATTCGCGCGAAAAAGCAGAGACCAATCAGAAGTTGCACTACCAAGTGCTCCATTTGCTAGTATTTGGTAGCCAAGTGCAACTTGGTAACCGGTAACCTCCAAAAATAAAAAATAATTGCCTAACCCCTTTGTTTTCTATGGCAGAGGTATGTATGTAATATGTATGTATGTACATACGCTATTTGTGCACGTGTTAATCTACTAAAAGTTAAATATATGAAAGTCATAAAAAATAATGCTACATATATAGTTGCATAAACATGTTGGATCAAAGAGTTGTGATTAGAAAATCCACAATCACGTAGACATCAGTACACATACTGCATACACATCGAGAAGCAATATTCATCATGAACGAAACTTCAGAAACACAAAGTAAAGACAGTGCCTCTGTTATAACTGAGCAAGAGCGCGAGTTGGCTCAAAATATACTGTTGGAATTTCAAAAAGGTTCTTATGCGTCGTGCTCATCATATTTAAATAAGTTGGAGAGCCTTCGACCTACAGATCTCAAAGTTACGCACAATAAAGTCGTGGTGGAATATTATAAAAGTGACTTGAAAAAGACTGAGTTGACACGAAAGAGTTTGAATGCTATATGTGGTCAAATATCAACGACAGATTCTAACGAGGCTATTGATGACGTTGAAAAGTGTGTTATGAGATATAATCAAGCTGTTTTATTATATCACACAAAGCAGTATAATGCTGCGCTTCAAATCATGACTAGGCTGTTTGCTTTTATCGAGCCAATGGGTACGTAAGTGTGTGATAATGCAGGTTTTTAATAGAAATTTTTAAAAGTTTGATGTATGCGTCACAACAACTCGCTGATCATTCAATCAAATCATACAAGAAAAAATGTTAAGTTAAGCTATAGTTTAAAAGAAGCATACTAATTTAATAATTATTTTTGGCTTATTTCAACTTTGTATTTTATTGCGACAGATGTACATAACATGTTCTTGATCATTGTTTCAGAGGAAACTTTAGCGCATAAAGTTTGTCTGCTACTGATTGAGTTATATATAGTAACAGAGCAACCAGACGCAGCTCTGTCAATATTAAATTATGTGGAGAGTCAATTTATATCTACTGATGGTTCCAAGATATCCTCTGTTGACAAGGATGGAGTAATAAAGTCTAATAAGGAACAAAAAGAGCAAAAGAAAGATGTTGGTGATACAGTGGCAGATGCATTCAAGATTAAACTCTTAAAATATAAAGCGAGAATATATCTTTTAACTCATCAACTTAAATTCTGTAAAAAAGAATGGAAGACACTAGTTTCATTGGGCATAGTGGTAATGTTGTCATTTATTATATAATAATGCTAAGTCTATATTATTATTATTATTATTATTATTATAATACATGATATGTGTACACACACACACACACACACACACACAC